ACAGACACACTTAGTTGCTCAGATCTTGACTTCTTTGACTGAACTGGGTTTTTCTTGATTCCATCAGTAGATACACTCGACTCCTTACACTGTACATCCAAATTATTGTTTATTTCAGATCTTTGCCTTGCAATCTGAATTGGGCTTCTCTCAAACCCATCAGAATTCTCAGATTTCCATGTCTTCCTCTTGCCACTGACCCCAATAGGACTTGGTTTTGGTCTCAAACTTTTGTCACCACTCTCTTCTGAGTTCTCTTCTTCACCATGGAAGATTTTGTCACCACTCTCTTCTGAGTTCTCTTCTTCACCATGGAAAATTTTGAGTCCGCCATTGAGTTCATCACTCTTTATTCTGCTCTCCCATGTTATGCGCTTTCTTCTACCCACCTCCATTTCCTTATAACCCTCTCTATCTCTCTCTCTAGTTTCATCAGATCTAGTCTCCGCAATTCCAACTAAGGATCAAGTTTAAATCTATACCATAGATTCAAATTTTAATATCAATTTTGCCACCTTCAATTCAAATGAATTCCCCCCAGTTCCATCACTCAACCCATCTAAATTTTTGTTTGGGCCATCCAAAGATTTATTTGAAACCAATTTTGCTTTTGTATCTACGGATTCATCCAAAGCCTTAGTGGACCCTGACTTCACTTTACTCAATTGAACTAAATTCCTCTCGTTTCCGTCATCAGATTCACCAACTAACTTCTGGGATTCAGACTTTGCCTTCCTAACCTGATTTGGGTTTCTCTCAGTTCTTTCAACAAACACATTTAGCTCCTTAGATTCCTCAGATCTTGTCTTCATTTTGTGAAATGGGTTTCTCTCAATTCCATTAACAGACACACTTAGTTGCTCAGATGTTGATTTCTTTGACTGAACTGGGTTTTTCTTGATTCCATCAGTAGATACACTCGACTCCTTACACTGTACATCCAAATTCTTGTTTATTTCAGATCTTTGCCTTGCAATCTGAATTGGGCTTCTCCCAAGACTATCAGAATTCTCAGATTTCCATGTCTTCCTCTTGCCACTGACCCCAATAGGACTTGGTTTTGGTCTCAAACTTTTGTCACCACTCTCTTCTGAGTTCTCTTCTTCACCATGGAAAATTTTGAGTCCTCCGTTGAGCTCATCACTCTTTATTCTGCTCTCCCATGTTATGCGCTTTCTTCTACCCACCTCCATTTCCTTCTAACTCTCTCTCTCTCTCTCTCTCTCTCTAGTTTCTCCTGTAATGAGTACACTAGGGACACAAGTTTTTTCTTTGAATGGAGGGGCTGTGGTTGTTATCAATGGAATAGAGTAAGACTTTGAGATGAAGAAATGGTGAGGAGAGAGATTTTATTGGCCTTATTTGGTTTGTGTTTCCTAAAAATTTTTGGGAAAAATTCCTTAAAAATTTTTGGGAAATATTCCCTACAAATAAGTTTTCCAAAGTAATTAAATCAAACAAAATTTTCCAAAATTTTTTTCCAAAACTTGTGAATAATTGTGAATTTCAAATTAAAAACAATAATAGTAACCCAGAATTTGATTCACAAATATGATTAAGCATGTTGCAAAAATAAAAGAATGCCATAATATGAAGTTGATGGTTCACAGCTGCATAATGAATATTCAGTACAATATTTGGATTGAATTACTATTAGTCTGGGTTCATATTCTCATAATTCAAATCATTTATATTTAATTGATTGAAAAATTAAAATCATATAATTTTATTACATTTATTTTCAAAAGTTGAATAGTGTGATTGTGAAAATAAATTGTTAATTTTTTCAAAGACAATTATAATGAAATTATATAATTACAAATTATTATTTTTTTCATGAATAATTTATGCATAGAGGACTACAAATAAAAGGTTCACATGAAATTAGACTCATGGTAGACTAGACTGCAATTGTCTTTGTATTTTATTATTTTTAAAAAAAATTGAGTTTTAAGTTGATTTTGAATGTTCAAAGTAGGTCTTTGAACTTGAAACTTCATTCAGATATGAAAATAAATAAATAAATAAATAACTGGAAACCTCTTTTGAAAATTACAATGCTTGAATGATTGGAGATGGACTGTAGTAATACCAACATTTTCAATCGTTGCAGCTCATTGGCAACTGCAGTAGATGCCCAGCAATAGTCACTTTCTTTTCTTTTCTTCTTATTTATTCTTCTTCTTTTTCTTTTTTCATTTTTTCTTACAAAACCAACAATAACCACCACCAGTTGAATTATAATGTGTAGAGTTTTTTTTTTTTTTTTTTCTTCTTCCCTCCGCCATGCCTTTTTTGAAGTTCAATCCTGGCAAACGAACTAACTGCCATTCTTGCTCCTGTTGTCAGTAATGCTATGACCGCAAAAAACATGTAAAGAAAAGTGAACCAAAGAATCAATGATATGTTGTCGTAAAAAAAAAAAAATTATGATATCAAAACACTTTACTCTCGTGCATGAATGATGCTCAAACACCTATCAAAACATCGATTACTTGGTTTCCATATATGAAAATAGCAGATCTATATGTTTTCAACTAGCAGCAATGGTTAAATTCAAAATTCTCACATAAACTCTTTCAATCAGATTAGGAAGAACCTGCGAGTAAGTTATAACCCTAATTGTTTTTTGGCATGACAAGTTTAAAGAGGGCGACATTGGTCAAATACAACAATGACACAGCTTTTGGAAGGGAAAGTTTTAGAGCATACTTCACAGCGATGGGATAGTGAATACACAGGGGATACAGGCAAAATAATAATTTGTATCATGGAAACAATGCTCTATATGTTTGCTAACCCTCTCTGGCTTCTATCAAACAAATGTGGCAAAGGAAGACTAAAAACGGTTTACACCAAACACAACACAAAAAGATGAAGAAACAAAACAAGACTAGAGAAGATCCAACTAACCAACAACTGATAAACAATTTCAAGTTTCCTATCCTTTTCCACTGATTCTTGCTATCAGAGACAGAAAGATTCGTAATTCTACACCAAATTCCTGTCAAAATGGTTACTATCATTCCATCAGACATTAAGCCAGAAAGAAACCACTAGAAACAAAGTTATACAACAAAACCTAGTTTATTTATAGTTCTAATGGTAGAGTACACTTATATGCTTGAAATACTAATTCAAGGCAAAGGCTGGTTTCAGGGCCAAACTTTACTGCATTCCTAATCCAGAGCAGGTGAACTAGCTTATAGAATTTGGATTTAGGATTTGTAACCATTCCACATTTGTTTGAAAGAAAAATCTCAACCATCCAATATACAATGCCAATAACTCAAGACCCACCAAGTGGTTGTGAATTCATGGATAGATTGAGATAATTAAGGATAAACATGTCTATTATATTTGCAAAAATTCTGGCTCCACCTATGTCCACTGTCTCCTCCACTTTATAATAACACCTATTAGGTTATGTATGAAACCTCTTTTCACCAAATTATCAATAGTAAGAATGGAGTCCAAACTGGATTTCTAAAAAATAATAATAAAATGTTACTTTTGTTATAATTCTCGACTTCCAAAAGATCTTCAATGGGAAACAGTTCCTCGTCCCACCAATAATCAAGGAATCATAGGATTTGAACAAGAAAATCCAATTTCCATGCTTCCGCCTCTTCCTATCTATCCACTATGTTTGATGGAACATCAGATCTCATAAAGGAGCTCAGAAAGCTCAAAAAACTCAACAAGGCCTCCACACCCACCTCATATGGCTCTCAATGTACCTTAGATGTCCATCCTCCTTGGTCCACTCCAAACTTGCAATCAATCACCCTTCTGGCTTTTCCCATAATTGGTGCTCCTCCTTAACTTAATATTATTATTATATTTTATTTATTTATTTTATGATAAGCAACAAAGACTCCTCTACATATATCTCCATAGGCACTTCCCCAGTAGTGTTTGATTGAACTGACAAAAATGGCGAAGGCCCAAACCACCATCTTCAATAGGAATACACACATTCCAATCTACAAGATGGAATTTGAACTCCTCTAAACCTCAAAAAAAAAAATTCTCAACTTGTCAAAACTCTTTCCACTGATGCAGGTAGAGGGAATAGAAACATCAAATAAATAGGTAGACTAGCCAATGTATTCTTGATAAGAGTAATTTTATCTCCCTTAGATAAATATTGTCGCTTCCACCCTACAAGCCAATCTCAAGGTGTTACATAACCTCATCCCAAATAGCTATAAACCTTCTAAGTTGAAGGAAGACCCAAATTTGTATTTGTTGAGAGGGATCCCACTCTCAATCTCAAGAATTCGGCCAGTCCTCGAACATTTTGAATCTCTCCCACTAGAATGAGCTTGCAGTTCCCAATGCAGATGTTCATCCCAAACACTACCTAAAAAATACATCAAATCACACTATAGACATGTCAATTGTTCTTCTTCTACAAAAGAAGATGATAGATCTCCTCCACTTCACTTCCTCTTCCCTTTACCTTCCTCTTCCCTTTACCTAAAAGTCAGCCCTAGTGCAAGAGACTCCAGCCACTGTGGTGTCTGGGGAGGATCATAGGTAAGCTAAGCTTTTTATCCATTTACCTCGTATATTCGTTTCCCTTTCTAAATCGCTACCCAAAATTCATGATTCAAAACACAGCCTTAGAGATGAATATTAACCCCTTACCAAATTAGAGATGAAGTTACTGAATATATTCCTAAGTACACTCAACAGTACAAATACAAACACTGGAAGGGTATAGATGCATATATCAAAATTAAACAGAATAGCATATGCAAAAACTAAAACTGAACTAATCAAATCAAAACCCAATTCTTAAATATGCAAGAAAAACACAAACCTCCACAAAAACAGCCAAATTAAAACTAAGAAGTACAATTTTAAATTTTTTTTTTTCATTCAAGTTCAGTGAATTATACCAAAAAAAAAAACATCTTGGATTTCACTCAGTCAAACTCATAGCAAGGTCTCCGAAATTTCTTACAATCTTCGGTAGCAATTTTTGCCCCCTCTCAGAAGACCACGCGAAACTGAGGAGCATCGTCGCCACTGGCCGGTAAGATCTCCCAGCGGCAGGGTTCGAGCTCGTCGGATACGGGACAGTACCCGGCCAGGGTGACCTTGTCGGTGGAAGTGGCTACCGACCCGAACTCGAAGACCGTGACGTCGGGCGGCGGAGCTCCGGAACGGATGACCTCCACAGCGCCGTTCATACCCGGGACCTCGGATTGCTGGGGCAAAGGCTTGTCCTTCGGGACGGGTTTCTGGGTGGGTTTGCTTCCGGAGGAGGATGGAGCCTCCTTCTTTCCTCCCCACCAAGATAGAATCCCCATGTTAGTTGTGTGAATGAAGAGAGATAACGAGAAAGATATAGGGCTGACCCGAAAACTAAAACAATTGCAACCTGCTCCGATTCAAATCATAGCGGTCGATTTTGTTTGATTTTTTACTTAGTGCACGTCTGGGGGATTACAATAATAATTAAAAAGTTAAAAATTATTAAAAAATTAAAAACCAAAGAATAATAAAGGTTCCGTGAGATAAAGTTTTAAAATTATGATTTGATAATAGAGTTGTATTTTAACTTTGTGAGTTTTAAAATTATGATTTAAGTGTAAAAAATTTGTTTAGTTATGAGTTTTGAAAAGAATTTGAATTGAGTGATGTGACATATGATATTGAAAAGTGTTTTGAAAAGCGAGCGTGGAATTAATTTTCTAAAATTGTAACCAAACAACACACTCAAATTAAGGGATAAAATTAAACTTCAAAAACTCTATCAAACAGAGCAAAAATTTATGATTTTTTAACTCCTAACCAGTAACAGTTTATCCAATTGCGTAACCCGCACAAATCTAACCTATCCGCATGCATAAATAGGGCAAGTCCGGGTCTATTTTTACATTCAAAATTGGGTTTGGGTCAGATCTGAATCTACCCGTGCAAATCCACAATCCGTCTACAGATTATGTTTAAAATAAAAAAAATAAAAAAAATCTCACTCATGTTGAACTAAAAAAATCTTCATTCTTTTGATCATCTCCTCTCTCTCTCTCTCTCACTCTCTCTCATCTGGCCCTTGTCTTTTTTTCTCTCTCTTTCTTTCTTTTTCTCATCTCGCCTACTTCTTTCTTCTCCTTCCCATCGTCATCACCACCACCATCTCTCGCCCCTTGCTCATTGTCTCTTTCATCTCCTATTTGTTGCCATCTCTTTCCTCTCCTCTACTCTACCATCGTCGTTGTCTCTTGTAGATCAACCCCTTACTCCATCGCCAATTTATCACCTACCGCATATCAACCCAGCTATGTCGTTGGTTGCTTGCCATTGTCCCCTCCTCTTCTCCTTGTCGTCGTCGACCAATCGCAAACCATATCTAGAAATGCGAGATCTAGAAGATATAGAAACTACACACACACTATCACAACCCAAACCCGCCCCTATGAGTTTAGCACCATGATCGGCTAGTAATCCGTGGATTACCAAAGGCCTCTGAACAGATTAGCAAATAATAAGGGGCTGCGGAAGCAATAATACAAAATAGACAAGGTCCAATGAGCTGTGATAACATACATGAGACGAAACATTTCAAAACTTATATATATACATAAGCATGCCAATCAAAGGACACCAATATTTACAAAGTATTACATCCCAAGACCTATCCTTACAACACATGCAGAGACTAGCATGAGTACAAAAACAGCCATGGCTTTAAACTCGATCGGAACCTCCTCAGGAGGCACATCGGTTGGCTGACAAAAACGAAACAGAAGGCCGTCAACTCTGGCCCTGGTGCTCAGCCTTTTTGATCATCCCCCTGAGCTCACATACCCGTTCAAGTTCGACGATCCCATGTATAACGTTTATTATGCCTTGGGGTGGGCCGTCGACCGGCATCCCGTTTGGTCTGTTTAGGTCCTGGGTGTTGGTTGTGTTCCCCCTTCTATATACTGGTCTAGGTGTCTAGCAGCCACTAACTCCTCCAGATGTTGCCTCAATGGTGTGTAATTTTCAGTTCGGTGCCCCTTCTCATCATGGAAGGTGTAACAGGACCTCTCGTTATAGCCCCTTTGTGCTTCTCCCACTTGGCAGGCCGTCGAACGAAGGGTTCATCATGTATTTCGCTAAGAATCCGGTAGAGGTTTATTGAATACTGTGGTGATGGCATAGATATCACATGATGCTAAGGATGTCACGAATACATATCACAAATTGAACAATCATTCATTGTACAGAACATATCATTTCGGAAAACAGATCTTGTTTTATCACACAGAAAATAGATACAGTTGAACATAACTTTACTAAATTATTACTGACAGTTGGCCTTGAAACAGACAGACAGAGCAGATCGATCACACGACGCGCGACACGTGACCTACATCACACATAACGAACACACACTTGAAACACACATTCTAATTGTACAAAACTTATGTTGTTGGTTCTTAGTGCGTTTCTAACCTTAAATTCTCACTATAGAGTCTTAAACATGGCCAAAGAATGCCTAGGATGGAATGAAGATGCAAAGATGCCTTTGGAAAACATTTCTCAAATTTTGCTGAAAATAAGGTCCACGCTCGAGCGTGGCTTTCTCCACTCGAGCGGACATGCAGGAAAATGGATCTCCGCTCGAGCGTGGAATCCTCTGCTTGAGCGGGCTACAAACTCATGAAAAAGTGCTAGATGCGTGAAATTCATGCTCGACGGGCGCTCGACCCCCGCTCAAGCGTGTGACACAGACCCTCGCTCGAGCGTGGCTTCCCCCGCTTGAGACAAGGTCCATGCTCGAGCGTGGCTTTCCCCGCTCGAGCGGACATACAGATAAAGAAGCTCTGCTCGAGCGTGGACTTCCCCGCTCGAGCGAACTGCAAACTTATGAAAAAGTGCTGGATACATGAAATTCACGCTCGACGGGCGCTCGATCCCCGCTTGAGCGTGTGACACAAACCCTCGCTCGAGCGTGGCTCTCGAGCGAACGGCAAAACACACAAACTTCTGGTTATACGCATTTCACGCTCGAGCGCGACTCTCACCGCTCGAGCGGAAGTGCATGTACTCAGGCTTCACGCTCGAGCGTGGGTCAAATTTCTGGAAAATCCAAATTGACCTCCAAACATGAAATTCAACATTCAACCATCCAAAACTCAATTTCCTAGGCCAAAACTTTGGAAAACACTTGGCAACCCATAAAACAACATGTTTAAAGCTTCAATTCAAGAAATCACGGCCCAAGAGTAAACCAATTTGTGCAAAATCAACATGAACTTTATGAATATGCTATTAATTCAACATGCAAGAACCTCTTTGAATTCAAACCTTCCAAAACATAACCAAACTTAATAATTTGATGGAAAATAAGTTGAATGGCTATAATATGAGTGAAATTGACACATGCATGGAAGAAATCTTAGAATTCCAACTCAAAACATGGAAATTTGTGCATGCATGCATGGATTCCTTAGAAGGACAGCTCAAGTGCTATGAATTACACATGCAAGTATATATTGAGCTTCAATTCACCAATCTTAGCTTAAACCTAACATGAGTCCATTTAATTCACTAGAATTCTTACATTAACAAATCAATTCCATAATTAATAGGGTGAATGCCTACCTCAAGTCTTGAATTCCTCAATGTGAAGGCTCTAATATGCAAATCTACAAAATTAAGGTTGAGGCTCTACAAATCTTCTTCAATTGTTAACAATCCTTAGCACCTCCTTGAATTTGAGCTAAATCTCTAAATCTTGGACCAATTCTTCTACTCTCACGTTTTTGGGTCTAGGAGGACTCAAGAGCGTATGTAAAATGAAGAAGGGAGTGAGTGGGGGGTGTTATTGCGCTCAAAAGGGCCACTAAGGCTCTAATTAGGTCATTAAACAAAATGTGCTTAGCAAGGTTGATTAATGGCATTAATTTAATCAAATTTAATCGTTCCGAACCGAATTTTAATTAAGCTTACCATAAAATTCTATAAATCCTAACTAGCACATATATCAAGTCAATTTCGAAATCGAGCGCCGATAAGGCTTTCAATTCGTAATTCAAAACTAAAACATGAATAGATATTTCTACGCCTAACAGATATAAATACAAAAATCACGCAATACTCATGCAAATTAGTTCCAAATCCTTCCTAGATTATTGTTAGGCTTAGCCAAGCACGAATTAACATTAATCTGGGGTCGGGATTATTACGCACACACACAAAAAAAAAATGTTTCATTGCACGAAAGTATGAATCTCAAATCTGGAATCCTCCATCTTCATTTATTTATGGTTTGCTGGTTGTGTTGTGGGTATGGGTGTTTATTGAGTGGGTTATACAAGTACCCCCCCTCTCTCTCTCTCTCTTTGTGGGTCATAATTTTTAAAGCAATTTTGACTATAAAGTTCTTCAACACCAGTTTTCATTGTTAGGTTGGAGAAATTTTGTTTGTTTGTTTGGTTTTTTTTTTCCTTGCAGATTCAAGGTTTGGGTGTTTCAGGCTTGGCTGTGGGTTTGCAAACTTTTGTTTGTAATTTTTTTTTGTTTATTTAATAAAAAAAAATGCTTTCATTATTGCTTTGTTTATTTAATAAAAATGTTGCTAGAATTCTCCTTTGTCTTTTCATTATTTTATGGTTTCAGAAAGTGGGGAAGGCAAAGGCCCCAATGCAAAAGCCCAAAAATAAAATTTCAAAAAAATATATATATATTTCACAAATCGTCCACAAACTGCTCGCATAACCGCATGACCCACCCGTTCAATCTACAACCCACATTGCGAGCGGGCGCGGTTCCATTTTTTCCCAACCTGCACCCCATTGGGTGGGTCTAATCTGTCATTCGAACCGCACAGAATCAATTTGTGAGCATTTTCTTCCATACAAAGCTTCGTAAGGAGCCATTTCAATGCTTGAATGATAACTGTTGTTGCACACAAATTCAACTAGTGGCAAGTAGGTCTCCCAAGTTCCTTGGAAGTCTAACACACACATTCTGAGCATGTCCTCTAAAGTTTGGTTAGTTCGTTCAGTTTGTCCATCTGTCTGTGGGTGATAGGCACTACTCAATTTCAATTCCGTCCCCAAAGCCTGTTGCAAACTCTGTCAAAATCTCGATACAAACTTTGAGTCTCTGTCAGACACAATAGATGCTGGCACTCCATACAATCTCATGATTTCAGTCATACAGATATTGGCCAATTTATCAGCGTTATAAATAGTTTTGACAGGCAGAAAATGGGCAGACTTAGTTAAACGGTCAACTATAACCCAGATAGAGTCCATACCTCGAGAAGAACGAGGCAATCCCACAATGAAGTCCATGGTAATGTGCTCCCATT